ATTTTTAGAATCGCGCTAAGGTTACCTCGCGCGCTGCGTGGAGGTTTCGCATGACTAAACGCCGTGCAAAACATGTCGGGCGAAGGGCAATGAAAGCGTAAAGAGATCGAGAGCATTTCTGAATATTGAAGCGAAATGAGTCGGCGCTCACCTGGGAAAAGGTAATCGCTCGACTCTTTGACAATCCGTGAAACCCGAAGTTATCGTAACCTCAGTGCTTTAACAAAATGAGAAATTGCTTTCAGTAAAAGAAACGAAGTCAAATCACTTGTTGACAGCGACGTACTTAAGGTTATACCGGTGTCTTTGGCTAAAGATGCTTTCACCCTAAAACCGAGCTTCGAAGTGGATCAACAAGCTATGTTAGTTGTTGGAGGTCAAGAGTTGTACAATTTAGATTACGTACAAGAAAACCAAAACATTCCCCACGAGCATTTTGCAAAGAAATTTGTAACCGAGGTTGAAATAATGGGCATCACAACTCTCGATAACAAAACATCATTAATTGTTGGAAACGATTTTGTTGGTTCAGAAGGGGATGGACGCTCAACTCTGCAGTGCCATGTGCAAAGGCTGAGAGAATTGCAGCAATGTTTGAATTGCCTACAGGGAAGTGAAGGTTTAACAGTCAAAGAAGTGTGCCACACAACCGAATGTGGCGATTGTCTTTCCAGTAAAGCGGTCTGTGAAGCCTTTAAAAGTGACGGTTTCATGCACTGGTGCCCAGCCTTGAGACGGTGTGATAGATGTTTAGAAAAGGAACTCCCATGGCAAAGAGCTGTTTGCTTTAACATCACCACTGACTGCCAATCTAAATTGAAAACTGCTCTAGAGCTTCTGCAGACAGATCAGAGAGAAGGGCTTTCCGATTCTTACGGCACATTGACCGCTCCAAATCCGGACATTGTACATGCAGGAAAAATGTACATAGGTCGCACAGCAACTGGTTTCTATTTATTGACAATACCCGCTTTTCTCTTGTGATGCTGCGCACTGCACGGCTGTATTCGTCCTTTACTGAAGAGCTTAAATCTGCTGTAACTGATATTGCTTCAAGAGGAAAAGACAGGATAGATACAAGCTTTATTGCCGAGTGCAATGCAGAGCCTGTGCAGAGAATCATACAAAGTATGGAATTTTTGGTCCACACGCTTGTTCCCGAGATATTTTGGAAAGAGTACGGTCTAAACAAACCAGGCGTGCTTGAACACCCACTATAAGTCTGTACCGGAAACTTTGGCGCCCTGTATACCACAGATTATACGCTTGGTATCCTTTTCAAGGTAAAGCTTCACAACCCTGCTGATGTACAAATTGTGGCCAAAGACCTTTCCAGTCCAAAGTGTGTGATTTATAAATCTAGCCATGGTGTTGTTTTTGTCGCAGAAAAGAGTTGTTTATCGTACCTAGATGTCGGTAACGTTGTTACACTCAATCCGAAAGCAATGAAAAAAACACGTCTTCATAAAGAGATTCTCAATCGTCATCTTTTGCAGCCAGGCGAAAGAGCCACTGTAGCACAAATGAGGCAGCTTCTCTCAGAGTGGATCGAAGAAAACTCTCCTGACAACTCGAGAGAAAATGGGTTAAAAATCCTTATTGATGAAATCAGCCCTCTGGCTTTAGCTGCCGACGACGACCGTGACATGATTTATGTTTCACAGCGTGACTCGATAGAAATTTTGAAAGTAAATTTGTTGTTTCGCTGTGGCTATATGGTCGGTAACGGGGTATTGAAAACACTAAATGGCCGGCAGTCCTATATTCCTATATTGAAATTTACTGAGAATGTAGGACTGCCGGCCATTTAGTGTTTTGGAAACCTTCACCGGTTAACGGCCATATAGCCACAGCGTTGTTGTTTACGAGTAATATTTTAGACTTTCAAAGAAGTCTTCCGTCTTTTTTAAAATTTGGCTCGCGGCACGAAGACTCGTCGCGATTTTATCGCTGGCAGGGCCGCCTCGTGACCCGAAAATCTCGTTCCATTCGCTTTAAAAACAGCTTTTCTAATGTGAAACTCGTGTCAGAGGTCAATTGTTCCAAGTCCAGTAATATTTTCCTGATTTTCTCGCTTTCTAGCCTCAAACGTTTGAAAGATATAAATGAAAGTGCAATCTCAACACTATGAATCATCGCACAGGTTGGTCAAAAATTAAATTATGATTTCTTTGCACTAGTTTTTCTAAACATGTAGCGTCTGTTTGTTTGATTTTGTCGGCCGTAGGAGGTTCATTTAAATGTTTACTAACTGCGTCGTTGCAAACATTCTGCTTCACGAAGCTTAATTCCACAAGATCTCCTCAGTCAACTCAACGTCTCAATGGTTTCTTTCTTACAGTCTTGTAGCCTGTTCCAAGCGTTCAGATGGTGGAGAGTGGTGCGAAGTAAAGAACGCGATGAAAAGCGTAGGGGGACTGGGGAATTTTTCGCGCTCCTTTTTACTTCGCACCGCTCCCCACTATCTGAACGCCTGGAACAGGCTAACAGTCTTACAGTTGCTGTTTCATTTCTTAACGGGAACAATATATCATTGATCTGTAATCCTGAGAAGTTTAGTGTAGTATCAAACTCGGCCAAGCGCGCGATGCAAACGAATTTTTCAAGGTTCTCTTACTCTCCTCGAATCTTTTGATTTCGCGACATCCTGTCCGAAAATCAAAGTTTGGTGCATGCGCAGTAACGGGATACTGTTCCTTTAACTTTCATTTTGTGATTCATTACAAACTTTTCTTCTCTAAGATTTACTGTAAGTTTTTACCCTCTACACTTTACGACCTTTGTGACCTTGATGTGAGATATGTTCAGTTTTGCTACTGACCTAACTAGCACAGTTGCGGTCCTTTCAACTTTCAACTGCTCCAATTTGTTTCAGAGAGAAAGCCGCCTAAGAAACGCTCACCTCCTTACTTAGAGCTGCAGTGAAGAATTGACTAAAGCTTGGAAAACTAATTTTTCAAGGCATTTTTCTTCCGACACAGCGGAGCAAATACAATCTACTTCCAAGACTAGTGTGTGTATGTTATGACTTTGTCAGTTTCAAGGTATCATGAATTTGATTACTGATTTGACTGATGCTGCCACAGAAATAGTGCTAGGGCAGCTAGGCAACAAACTACTTACTCAACGGTGACTAGCCTCTGTAGTAGGCATTTGAAAGGAAAGGGAAAGGGGTTTTGGGCACTAGAGAAATGCGACGAGTGCACGAGGAAGGAGGGAGTGATTTCAACATTCACCTGGTAGATGTTTATAATGCAAAAAAAAATAGTCTCCTGGCAGGCATTTCCCTCCCTCCTTCCCTCATGTTTCTCTTGCACCAAAAAACCCACTTTCCCTTCCCTTTGAAATGCCTGCCACACAGGCTAAGTGATGTCCATCAATCTGTTTATCGTTTCCACTGTTTAGGGGGGACTAATTAATAAAAATATGAAAGTCGTCAATTTTGGCCTGATTTGTAAGCGAAGACAATGAGTTAAGATATATCAAGCAATTTGAATATTTTGTCGGCCTGAGTTAAAATATAAATTGCTTCATCATTGAATGTACTTTTGATATTGGAGAATCAAGGCTGAGAAAATGGTGACGGGAAAAGGAAATATAAAAAGTGGAACAATAGGGCAGTAAAACCGTGAGACTAAGAACCTGAATTAACTAAGTAAGCCTAAACAGATTCTTATTTAAATAGTAGTTAGCACAAGTTTAGGCTATTTAGGTTTTTAAATGGGTTCATATTTTCTGAAGAAAAAATAAAGCTAAGAGTATTAATTTTCTGTTTTACCTTATTCCTCCAAATAAAGTCTGTATACCAAATTTGAAGTTATGTGAGAATGGACATAAAAAGAGGAATGTCTTTAATTTGTATTATTGTATCAATGTAACAATTTTATTTAATTTAAACATTGGCATTTTACATTGTAGTTGGAGTGGTAAGACAGCTTTGTCTCCAAAGAAGATTCTAAATTTTGATTTATCTTTGCTCAAGTGTACAGAACTTTTTCATAGATTTCAAAAATAAGAACCTGTTTAAAATTTTAGGCTGAACAGGTTTTTATATAACGGGTTCTTAAAATTCAGGTTCTAAGTCACAGGGTTTTACTGTACTGCCAGGATCCACCACTGCAATTACTGGTAAACTCAAAAGCCCACTTTACGGACAACCACTTAACACAGACACCTCATCAAGGTTGTGCTCTAGCAGAGCCCAGTGGCTCCTGGTGCCTAACGTTTGCTCTTGGGTGACTAGAAAATCTTATACTTTTCATACAAATTATATGCTGGGCAGCTTAGATTTTACAGGTTCAGAGAACTGGGCTCCTTTCAATGTTCCTTAGAGCACAGCCTTGCTCATCATTACAGACAGCTTGCTTTTTTCGCTGGAAAAAAGCCCTTAAATTTTCTCTAAGTTAAAATGGACAATTTCTACGGTCCACTCAGTGTCCGTATAACATGGTTTATATAGGAAATAGCATGATTTGTAGTGATATTTGGCATAAATACCACGAGTGATATTTCGAAATTGTTATACGTAATTTTGAGATTTTTGATTTTGATTAAATTTGAGACAATTTTGAAATATCACGAGTGGTATTTATGCCAAATATCACGTACAAATCATGCTATTATTTGTTTATACTACTACCCGCAAAAGCATCTTGACACAAATGATCAGATTTTGAATAAATGACGAAAGAATTTCCGTTAAGCTGCGTAGCACTTTAGAAAATAGAAGTAACAAAAATGTTCATTAAAAATAATAAATAACAAAAGTGCCGTGTTTAGGTTCAAGTTATCCTTTCCAAACGTTTCGGGCCTGGCCCTTCATCAGTGGATCGGAAATACCAGTTGGTAGAAACCGTTGCAAGGTTTATTTATATACGCCCTATAAAATTAGAAATAAAAATTAAGGGCTTTGTGGTGCACGCGCGGCTCTGCGCGCGGCCTAGAGGAAACGGAAGTCGGATTTTGAATACCGCCCATGATGCTTAGCGATCGTAGTGCGCACACCACCTGCCTTCCACTCTAGTTCCGTGGCCGCCACAAGTTTCCCAGTCCAAATTTTTCTTTCTTCATCATGGATGACGTGGCATGGGAGCACATTTACTACGAAGACGTCCAAGGTTATGTAGATGAGAATGGCATATCAAACATTGAAGAATTTTTTAAGAACAAACTGGAACGTTGGCGAGACGTGGAGGTGAACATAGCAATCTCTGGCAGCTCCGGAGCTGGAAAATCGAGTTTTATCAACGCGATACGAGAGTAAGTAAAAATGGAAGTATTTTAAAATGAATTCTCTTAAGGAAGGTTTCCTGTTCACGTGTTCGTGTATATCTATGGACTCAAACTTTAGTCATAGGCGCCGTCAGGTTACTACCAATAAATCACGGAAGAAAGCCGGAAGTTGTTGGATCGAAACAACGATTTGTAAAATCCAACCTCAGTTCAATTACTAAGGAATTTCAAAGAAACTTGTGACACTTGTGTCAAGCTGTGCAATGAGATTATGGTGAGTGCAGCGCACGTCGATTCGAAAGGACCAAAAGCAAAATTTGTTACAGAGCGAAACGGCATTTAAGTTAGGCATTGCAGGGAATTGAGAGCGTGGTTTCAGTTTCGGAAATTAAGTGTAAACATAAGCCAATGAGTTAATTAATTTGAGTGCGGTATAGTTTACCCATGGGCAAATGGTTGTTGCCCATAGGAAAGTAACTTTTTGTACGACAAAATGGTAGGGGACGAGCAATGGCGGCGTAAAGACGCTTATTGGGGCTGTCCACAATTTCTTCTGATATCCGAGGTCCCCGTAACGGCAAATGGCCGAATTCATATCTGAATTACTAGGAAAAAGGAGAAACAGGATATCCACCAGTTCAGACGACTCAACCTCTTCACCTGACAACAAAAAATCTCGAAAATTCATCTCGACCGACGGAGAAATAGCCGAAGAAGACACAATCTTAACCGCGCTAGATATGACAGCAAACATGGCAAAAAAGCTTGAAGAAATCCTTGAGCGTTTAAAAAAGCTCGACGTGATAGAGTCATCGGTTAATAGCATCGAGACAAAGCTTAACTGCCTAGAAGAGCGTACAGCAGTATTGGAAAATTTCAGACAAACTACGGAGAAAGACATTAACGATCTTAATGAAGAAAATGGAAATTTCACGAGCTGACAGTTATCTGAAATATCGACTGAGCTAAAAAATCACCAAGCTGCAATCACTGATTTAACACAAAAGGCAGAGGCGAGTAAAGAGTTATTAAAGGAACTTACAGCAAAAAATCTCTACCTAGAAGCTTACTCCAGAAGAGAGAACATCAGGTTTATGAACATAAAAGATTCATGGTTCCTCCGATGAACCCGAAGATGTCGAAGAGACCCTAAGAGATTTCTTAATACGCGAACTGGGCTTCCAAGACGCAAGAAGCGTGGAAATCCAAAGAGTTCATCGAAGTGGAAAAACCAAGAATGGAAAGCCCCGGCCAATACTGGCCCGTTTTCTGAGATACAAGGATGTCCAGAAAATATTTTCACTCGGGCACCGATTAAGAGAAACCGATTTCCAAATGTTCCGCGACTATCCTGCAGAAGTTGTCAGAAGACGCAAAGAGCAGATGAAGACCTTCAAAGAGGCCAGAAGAAACAACATTCCTGCATTCTTCAGTCTCACGGAACCAGATAAGTTATTTATTAGAGGTCGAGTGTGGCCTGTAGGAAAAAAACTGATCATTAATCCTGAGACTGTTTCATAATTGTATTATGGGGACAAATTTACTATTCTTTTTTTCTTGCGGTTAGTCACCCTTATAGATGCAAAGCGACCACCCAGCAAGAAAACATTTTAACCTTGTCTTTATGTTTTTTTTTCGATTTTTTTCTGTTTTGTTTTACTTTCAGTGCTTTGAAATATCTTGTTTTAAACCTTTCTGTACTAAACCGACACTCTATATCTCATTTGCACAAATCAGAATAATTTCTCATGCTATTCTTCTTTGGGTGAAAATTATCAGTTTCTTCTTTCTTCACAGCAACAAAAGAAATGGAACTTACAATTGGTTCAATTAATGCTAGGGGATTAGGAGACAGAAGCAAGCGACGGGAATTCTTTAATTGGCTGCGGAAAAAAACAAATAGCCTTAAGAAGCTCATTGTACTGAAAACAATATGCATGACTGGCGAGCTGAATGGGGTTATCAGGCCCTTTTCAGTTGCTGCTCTAGCAAAAAGGCAGGCGTTATCATATTGTTTAACAATACTTTCACCTTTCAAATTTCGCGAACATACTGCGACCCTGGGGGACGCTATATAATCTGTGACTTGATTACAAATGGGAAACAATTAACCTTGGCAAATATATATGCTCCAAACAACGACGACCCAACTTTTTTTACCTCGGTCTTTGAGCGGTTAGCAGATTTTCAGTGCGACGAGGTCATAATTGGCGGGGACTATAATTTAGTTTTGGATGTTGAGAAAGATAAAAAAGGCGGTCTTGCAAAAACCCACAAAAAAATCGGTGGAAGTCATAAATAGCTATTGCGAAGACTTAGACCTTATTGATGTCTGGAGAATACAAAACCCTGAACAACGACGATTTACATGGAGACAAAAGAACCCCGAAATACAATGCAGACTTGACTTTTTTCGCGTAAGTCAATGCACATCTTGCAACTCAATCAACACAGATATAGCCCCTGGTTGTAAGACAGATCATTCATTGGTCACGTTGCAAATTTCGACGCATAATAACATGACAGGACGAGGCTTCTGGAAACTAAATACCTCATTCCTAAAGGACCAAGAATATATATATAAAGAAAATACAATCCATTATAACTCAAACTAAAGATGAATATGCACTGGATAATACTGTCGATCCAAACTTACTGTGGGAAATGATAAAAATGAAAGTAGAGAGACATCAATTGAGTTTGGCAGAATAAATAAGAGAAAAATGTTTCAAAAACAAGATGATATAGAAAAGACAATCAAAATCCTGGAGGAGCAGACCGTCAACATTGATGCCACTGACTGCCAAAATGTATGGTCAGAGTTAGAAAAGAAAAGACGGGAACTTGAAACCATAATCGAATACCAGACAAAAGGGGCTATTCTAAGATCTAAATCGCGATGGTACAAACACTAAATACTTTCTAAACTTATAGAAGAGACACTGCAAACACTGCAGAAGAGACACTGCAAACAAGGAACAATTACCCAACTGAAAGTTAATGACAAAGACTTAATCCAATCCGACAGGGAAATCTTACACGAGTGCGAGACCTTTTATAAAAATCTCTAAAGTTCAAAAGTACAAGTTAACGATTACCCGGAAGTTTTCTTTCCACCTACACGAGAAGTATTAAGTGAAAAAGAAAACAGCATTGTGAGGGTCTTTTAAGTTCTAAAGAGTGTTTGGAAGCATTAAACGGTATGGCCACGGAAAAAACACCTGGTACTGATGGCCTGCCGTGTGAACTTTATAAAGTTTTTTGGAAAGACGTAGGTGAAACACTAACAGAGGCCCTAAACTTTTCTTACCAAACAGGAAAACTCGCTGTATCACATGCAAAGGCGAGGAATTGTCAAGCTTATACCAAAGAAGGACGCAGATCCCAACCTGATTAAAAATTGGCGCCCATTGACACTATTAAACTGCGATTATAAGATTGCATCAAAGGCTATTGCAAATCGAATCAAAATAGTTTTACCGGAATTTGTATCAGAAGATCAGTCAGGCTTTATTAAAAACAGATGTATCGGTGACAATATACGCACATTAGATAGTGCTATTAAGTATGCAGAAAACAAAGGTTTACCCGGTCTACTTCTTTTCCTCGATTTTGAAAAAGCTTTTGACACGTTAGAGTGGTCATTCATAAACCAAACGTTACGGCACTTTGGCCCCTCACTGTTAAACTGGGTTGAACTATTTTACTGCAATACCGAAAGCTGTATACTAAACAATGGATGGGCAAGCAATTTCTTTGAGTTAAGTAGAGGTGTTAGACAAGGCTGCCCCATATCGCCTTATCTCTTCATACTGTCCGTAGAAATACTCGCTGAAGCTATTCGCAATAAGAAAGAAATAAAGGGCATCAAAATCTACAATACCGAAGTTAAAGTAAGTCAATATGCGGATGACACGACACTCATTTTAGATGGAACTGAACAATCAGTAAGAGCGTCACTATTACTGATAGAAGCATTTGGGAACATATCTGGCCTAAGGCTGAACAATGAGAAAACAGAGGCCTTGTGGATAGGTTCTAAAAGAAACTGCAACCTGAAACTCTGTCCGGAAAAAAATTTTAAATGGCAAAAGGGAAAGGTCAAAGCACTAGGCGTGTGGCTGTCTACAGATCAACAGTTAACACTCTCTCTCAATTACAACGAGAAATTAGCAAAAATCCAAACTATCCTGGGATGCTGGAAATTTAGAAGACTTAGCTTAATAGTGAAAATAACAGTACTAAAAAGCCTCGTAGCATCCCAACTGGTCTATATACTCACACCTTTACAAACGAATCACCAAGCAATAAAAGAGATCAACAAGCCTTTTTTCACTTTCTTATGGAACGACAACAGGATAAAATTAAACGCTCGATCATGATCAATGACTACCCTGAAGGAGGACTAAGAATGATTGATATTGCCTCTTTTAACAAATCACTCAAGGCTACGTGGATTAAAAAGTATCTAGATTCAGGAAACCGTGACAAATGGAAAAACTTCTTTAATCTGGCTCTGGGAAAATACGGGGGAAGTCTTTTTTTCGAATTAGGAAATCTTAACAGAAAGGATATTGATAAGCTAAAGATAGAAGACACTTTTATCAAAGAAATTGTAGAAATTTGGTCTGACACTTTCTTCGAGAGGAAAATAGTATCAAAAGATCATTTTCTATCTCTAACTCTGTTACAAAATTCATTAATAAGAATAAATAACGCACCAGTTTTCTGCAATAATTGGCTTAACAAGGGTATAGCAAAAGTTAAACATCTAATGGACGAGAATTCTCTCAACTTTTTTTCCCTCGACCATTTTCAGAACAGATATAACATTCGAGTAAAACCCTTAATGTTTTTCGGAATCGTCTCAGCCGTGAAATCTTTACAACGACAAATCCCGAGAACACATCAGCAGTATGAAAGCCCTCTTAACACATTTCTCAAAAGCCAAACTGAAATCATCTAGAATTGCTTACAAGCAACTAATAGCAAATAAAAGTGAAAAACCCATATCTTGTATAGACAAATGGCATAAAGACATCCACTCTTCAACCGATAAAAATTCTTACTGGAGAAACGTTTTTCAAGCAGCAAACACTTGTACAACGAGCTCAAAACTAATTGATTTTAATTTCAGATTTTTACACAGACGTCTACCAACTAACAGCTATCTGCAAAAAATAGGAGTTAAGGCGGACGGAAAATGTACACTTTGCCATGACGAGAAAGAGAATTTGACACATCTATTTTGGAAATGCCAAAAAACCAAAAATTTTTGGGATAATTTCTCGATATGGCTTCAGTCATGCCAGATCCTCCAACCAGGCAGTTACTTAGACATGACTACCGCTTTGGGCCTAACGCCAGACAGCTCTTCCTTTAAGCTCCATATAAACTTCTGTTGTCTTATAGCTAAGAACTTTATCTGGATATGCAGATCAAAAGAATGTTTCCCAATTCACAACAATTTCTTGTTTTATCTGAGACATATATACCAATTAGAAAATAAGAAACCGCGCAATACAAAAAAATGGAAACCTTTCTTTTCCTCGCTGGGTCTTGTCTCCTAACTCCAAAAACATAAATTAGTAATATGTGCACCTACCATGAGTATTTATATTACTTTCACCACAAAGAAAGAAAAAAAAAGAAAAAAATGTAAAAAAAAATTAATTATAGATCATACTAAGTACAGTAATATATGGAATTAGCACTGCTGTAACGTATTTTAATATTTGTAAGTATATTGCCATGTAAGAGTGTAAATTCGATATTTTTTTTGTTTGTTTTTTCTTTTTATTACTTTATTTATTCTGTGTAATTTTTGTTTCTTTTCTGTGTGTGTTTTACTTGCAATAAAAAAAAAACTTTTTGTACGACCGTCGACGACTTATCCGAAGTAAAATCCCCTCGAGGAATTTTCCACCATGAATTCGTATACACGTCACAGAGAACTAAAAAGAATTTCCCAATACAGTTTCCGAGTTTCTGTAATAAGAACAAACGCAAGGAGACTCAATCAACCACGAGAAAGAAAAATGTGTCATTATATTTACTACATTAATTATTATTAGTAGTGCTCATCTTGCTTACGCGAAACTGGTTTTCAGGGGGCTGGTAGAGTTAGCCTCCCCGCAGACGTCCTTTGGGGTTCGTTCGTCACGCATTCATTTCTCCCCCAGGGAGAAATGAATGCGTGACGAACGAACCCCATGAGATTTTGAAGGTATACGCACGGGAAGAGAGGAGGGTCTGGGGGTATCTTCCCCCGCCCGAAAATTTAGGGTCTCGGAAATGCCATTTCCTGCGTATTTCGCCGGACATTCTTAGTAGATAAATACAAAGGAAAAAACAGTAGTTAGTAGTTAGTAGACACAGTGTTTGCGGAAACAGTGGTGGTGGGGGTACTTTAGGAATTTCTGGGTGGGGATGTGCCGCTGGGACCCTGGAACCCTCACCCTATACTAGAGCTACAACCCCGGACAAAACCTGTTGAGACAAATCGCGAAAATGCCTATTTTTTCCTGTCATCCCGGCAAAAACTGAAACCGCCGCCAAATGAATGCCCGATTTCCCCCCTCCCCTTATCGAAAGTTGTTTAGGATAGCATGGCAATTATACACGTTGGTTTTTAGACCAAGGCAACTTTGAATAGGGGGTGGGGAGGGGGTTTACTTTTTGTGTTAAGGGGAGACGGGAGTAGGACGCAAAAGTTAGAAAATAGATGGAATTGTCTCAACAGTTTTGTCCGGGGCTGTAGTTCAGCTGAATTTTGCTACCCTATACTAGAATAAACTGCCCAAATCCCCCCTATCCTAGAGTAGCTGTTCTCCAGAAACTACTGAGGTCACTAGCACAGTAGTCTAGCCAAAACAAAACCTTATACCACAATCCCTCGTCTCGTTAAATTCTTCAACCAACTGATCAGTTTCCTGAAAAATGATACCCTATTCTAGACCCAAATGCTCTGATTTATATACCCTATCCTAAAGTAAACTGCTTGAAAACCATACCCTTCAGAGCGGCACATACCTATATAGCCCACTTATGGCAGTACCCCCCTCCCGGGGGGGGTTATGTTACAATAAGGGATTAGGACCAGACGAGAAAAGACGCTCTCTTATTTTTTCTTCTCAGGCTTACGCCCTCGTTTATCGCGAAAGAAAAATGATCGCCTGTCGTGGTGCTTCATAAAGGCGTTTTTAATCTCTTCATACTGCTGAAGCTAAACAACGTTAAGCTAACGCTATGAGAGCAACACTCGGCTGGAGCCTGGTGAGGCTGACACTCAGTTCATGACCCCAGTCTACTTCGCAGCCGCTAGGCGTCACGCGCAGGGGAGCTTGCGTGACTCCGGCTCGGACGGCTGCGAAGCAGACTCAAGTTAACCCTGACGTGACTCATAACTTTGACTCATTTAACTCATAAAACAAGATTTTTCTCTGTTCTCAGAATTCGCTTCCGTTAATGTGTCAATCAGGTCATGCCTAAGTGTTGGAAATGATGAGTACATTATTGCGCTAGGAGTAGTCAATCGATAAAAATCGGTAGCAATCAAGTGTTTTTCATCTATTGATAGCGGAAATCGGTAAAAATCAATAAAACAAATTACTATGTCAAATCAACATAATCGATTTTTCATGATTTTATCTGTTTATAACGGAAGTCCGCCTTTGAGGTTGTGTTTTGCCATAAGTTAGAAACTACAGCTGAGAAAACAGACGCACGAGTAACAACTGATCTACAAACATGAAAATGTGGAAACTATTGCACAAACAATTTTCTACGAATCTTGCACTACTTTCACAACCTTAGATAAAGATCTCCTACCCTGAATTTCAGACATCCCCTTGAGTCGAAGGCGTGTCTCACGGACAAAATTCAGGCTAAAATATTACCCTAGATAGATTTTCACCGTTTTGCGTTATCAGTCGATAAAAATCAATTGATTGCTAACGGTTCTTAACGATTTCGATTTTTGTCCATTGGTGTAACTAAACTCGGAACTACACCGACGTTATTTTGAAAAGGAGGCACTTCTAAATCGTGAAAAACTGGTGAATTCAGTTTTCTTTTTTAGGTAAACTGATGTATCTTCCTGTATCTTCCCATATAAATCGATGAAATCGGTAAAAGTTAAGATAAATCGATGAACAAAAAGAGTGTGTCATCGATTTTTACCGATTAATCGATACAATCGATATCAATCAAATCAGATTTACCGATTTTTATCGATTGACTACTCCAGATATTGACTCATTATTCTGTGTAATTTTCCCCCTCCCACACACACACACACACACACACACACCTCCCCATACATTTTCTCTTGGTATAGCCCTGGCCCTGAGGAAGACTAATTTTGTTAGCCGAAATATTGGTCTATAATAAATCAGCCCTTTGTCCTAGTGCCAGCCCTGCATTCAGTTTTGTTTTATTTGACACTTTAAGTGACGTCTGGCTACAGCATCTCTTGTTTTGCCTCCTACTTAGGCTACCACGCCCTTCACAGAAGTAAGAGCAATGCAGTGAGACAGGTTGCATAACTAGTTCCAGGCGCTAGTTTTTTTTCTCTTCTTCGTTTTTTTTTTTTTTTTCAGCCTTAAAGACTTCGACGAAAAGGCAGCCAAGGTTGGTGTCACTGAGTGCAGCAAAGAACCAAAACCATATGATCACCCAGACAATCTTAATATCAAATTCTGGGATTTGCCTGGAATAGGGACTAAAGACTTCCCTATGGACACGTACTGCGATCAAGTGCGAATAGACAAGTACCACGCCTTCCTCATATTCACTGATACCCGATTCCGCGAGAACGACTTCAAACTGGCAGAGAAAATAAGCTTGATTGACAAGAGGTTTTTCTTCATTCGCACCAAAATTGATGAAAATGTCCGCGCCGAGAAGCGGTCAAAGCCTCCGGGATCATTTAACGAAGAAGCCATGCTTGAAGAAATCCGAGCAGACTGTTCGAAAAATCTGGGTCACCTGCAGAGCAACACTGAGAATATATTTTTGATAAGCAACCATCATCCTGCGAAGTGGGAATTCGATCGACTGAGAAAAGCCATTTTGGATGTGCTACTGAGGTACCAGCGAGAGAGTTTAATCTTGTCCCTTAGCGTTATGAAAAGCCTGTCAACTGAGATGTTAAGGAGGAAAGTGGAGGTTCTTAAAGGGCGTATTTGGATGGTTGCTTCAGCGTCTGCCGCCGCCGCGATGGTTCCCATCCCCGGATTGGCCGTGGCAGTTGACATTGCGCTGATGATAAAAGAAATCACATTTTACAGAACCCAGCTTGGTCTTCCTGAGGTAGGATCTGTTAAATTTGCGAATCTACAAGTCAACACCCAAGAAAAAGTCCGTAGGATGTGTCCGACAACTGCAGCTCAAGTCACCGAGGTCGTAGAAGCTTATGCCGGAGAAGCGAACGTTAAGGAATTTGTTCGTTTTATCCCATTGCTTGGTTTGGCTATAGCTGGCGGAATGTCCTTTGCTACTACATATTATGCTCTTTGGCATTGTTTAGAAAAAGTTGAAGAAGCAGCTTTATCAGTCCTTGTTGAAGCTGCCCACAAATCAGCCGACGATTTGGATATTGATTGAGTCGTGAAGATACGTATACTAGCCTAGATTAGTCTTTAGTAAAAAGCTAGTAAAAACTACCCTTACGAGTAACTTTAACAAAAAGTAAATTCTCGAATTAGCGACAGGGGCGCTTTTTCAATTTTTGGCCGGTTGAGCGGAAGATGACAAGATAGCACTTGTCTTTGTTTGAAATAAATAAAAACTGCAACATTAAACAGGAAAAATAGAACTTATCCTTTACCTTTGGCTTATGCTCAAATTTATGAGTGTTTGGTGCATACGTTCTGTCGCTATCCGCAATTCACAAGTCGATTGTTAACATTCGATAGTGGATGTTCTCAAATAACACATTCTTCTGTTATTATACATGCTATGCGATATCTTCATTTATAAAGAAACATAGATAGATGTATGTAAACCGTATATCTTAAAAGAAAGACTAGGAGGTGAGTGGAGTTTAAAGGGAACATTAATGGTGGGAGGGGCGCTAATTCAAAAGAGGCGCTCATTTGAAGGGGGTGCTAATTCGAGCATTTACGGGTACAATGATGTTGGCGTAATTCATCATAAAAAATGAATAAATATTAAAGAAAGATGATGCTGTAGACCAACCAGAACTGTTTGAACTGTTGTTAGGCTGGGGTACATAATCGCTGCTTAAGAAACAGCGTTGGGCTTACTTTACTGAACTTATTAAATTCAGTAGTTGTCGCTAGTTGTGAACCTGTTACAGAACTTGCGAAAAAGAGTTTTAGCCCAAGAGTTAATCATACTATATGAACGAAGATCATCACAGTATATACGTAACTTTTGCAGTTGAGAAAAAAAAGCCTGAAAAAAATTCAGGCTTGTACGGGATTCGAACCCTTGACCTCTGCGATACCGGTCATCGCACTGCGAAGATCTTCCTTAATAATTATAACCCTTCACTCTGCAATTCACATATATGATTTTCATATACATAACTCCGTCATCATCCTTCCTCGGGTTTATAACGAACCAATTCAACGACCTGCTCCCAGTTGGCTTATAGAGCGCTATCCGGTATCGCAGGGGTCAAGGGTTCGAATCCCGTACAAGCCTGAATTTTTTTCAGGCTTTCTTTTCGCAACTGCAAAAGTTGCGTATATAACTGTGATGATCTTCCTTCATATAATTCTTCACTCTGCAGTTCACATATATGATTTTCCTATATTCATAACTTCAGTTAATCATATGTTAATAAGCAATAAATTAGAAAACGCATTATTGTTAAGAAAAACATAATATAAATAAGTGAGCAAATAAAATGACAGCTTCTGAGAAGAGAGAGAAGTAAGTAAGATCAGAATATTAGAGAAAGTCCAACCTGTAAACTGACCAATAGAAAAACAGGAAAGAGACTTATTAAGTTGATCTTCTTTGAAAAGGCAAAAAAGTATGTGTACCCTGCGAGCACAGAGGCTGGGTAAAGTAAGTGGTAACTTTCAATTATAAAATATAAGCTCAATATTTGCCTGTTGGATTCTCGCGCGTCTTCTAACCTCTCCGCACGCGAGTACGCTCTGAGCAAGCCCTCCTGAGAGTCGTTCTCAGAGTGTCATTCACATCTAGTTTTACAAGTTTCTTAGCTTAAAAATATGATTATGTCAAATAATCCATTATTGGTTTCAAATCGAGAATCGTGTCTTAGATAATAAAAGCCGTACATGAGATAATTTTAAAAAATTAAATGAATTTTTGTTCTTTTTTAAAAGGCGTCTGGTAAAATTCTTACAGTCTTGTGCTGATCAATTAACTGCCCCTCTTGACCAGTAAGGAGAGGGCAATCGACGAGACTCTTTTTCATAGATATACTGTTTACAAGTAGTCATTAGGACTCCTTTAGGAGGATCATAAGGTTGTATTATCACTATATTAAGATCTCTCCTTACAGATAACCCACCCGGCCCAAGAAAGATTGGCCACACCACCGGGTGTTACGTCACCTTCTCTTTTCGAACAGTGGTGTGGGTTCTTTTATGTTTTAAAAAATCAGATAAGTGAAAGTGCTGCGAGACCAGACCTACCGTTTTTCTTCCTTATGTTATTACAAAGGCAGCACTTTCTTCTCAGTTATTTCAGTAAAGATCTTGCGTGTTGGTCCGGCCGGGGTTCGAACCAGCGACCTCCCGCGCTCGGCAGATCGGTGCTCTCCCACTTATTCTGGAAATTCGTTTCTTTAGGCTTGAGTTTATCACAGATCATTGGCGATTACCCACTGACAAAAAGCCTGAAGGCTCTCAGTTAGGTCAATGGCAAGTGCCAGTCATGTCTATTTCCTCGAAAAGAAAAAATGAATGGTATTTAGTAATCCCTGAGATACGCCCCAATCTTGGATTTCAACTAACCCTTCACTTCAGCTAGCTAATCAAATATTCCCATTGCAATTTTCTACGTTCATCATGGCTGCGAAATTGACCAAAGTGGAACCATGGGCACCGCAGAAGCATTACGATGATGCATATTCATATGTCATGAAAAACGGTGTTTCGAAAATCAAGGATTTCTTTGAGGAGAAACTGAAGAATTCTGCGGGAGAAGTCAAGGTAAAGACCGCAATCGTCGGCAGAACTGGATGCGGAAAATCTACTTTTATCAACAGGCTACTAAGGTGAGAAAAAATGGAAGCATTTTTATATTTGTTTTTCAAGGAAAGTTATTTTAAAAGGTGCTCTTAGTCTTAGCAGACGAAAATTGATTACCAGCTTTTTCCAAGCGAAATTAACGGCGATTGTGTTTCTTGTTGAAACGCTACGTCTCGTAAATAAGTCCAATAAAGGCATTGAATGTGACAATGTTTAAGTAAAGCAGTTTTCTGAAGACTCATCAAAATCTGCTAGACTATCTCTTTTTTAATGTTAGGGCAATTTCCCATTTTTACATGGTCAGTGAAACTTCCACTTATTGGCAGAGGAATAAACTCCTTTGTTTCACTTTCACCCGGAAGTCTGAAACGGAAAACCGAAAGAGGAAGGAGCATTGCAAATTATATGAATTATTTGTTTTTTGTATCGTACTTATTAGAGACTTGAACAAAATATTATAAATCAAGACAATTTTGACATAAAACCGTAAAAAAATTAAGCATTTTTGAGTCAATAAGCTGGGATCCAAACTGATGTGATTATACAGTACTGTTGTCTCAACCAATTTCGGATTTCCGAGAAAACAGACGTATGAAACCGTGAAAACCGACGTCTGGTGAAAACAAATGTGACGATAGGTTTTGCTCTTCCAAGCACAAATCGGGGAAATAAGCGTTAAGAGAACTCGAGCGACTTCGGCGTAAGGACAACAAGGGGGAAAACTAACTCTGCAACTTGCTTGGCTAGCGGAAAAGGAACTCGTCACTATTCCAAGGTACTAGGATCTGCTACAACTGGAAAGAGGACAGGACTCAAACTTGGACTTCAACAGTTTAATCTTCAGTTCGTGAACGTAAATCAAACAGTCAAATAAATCCGCAATGTAAAATCGAAAAACGGGAATAACAGTGCTCTATTTATACTAACCGATCAACTTATTAGAACATCACAAAAACAAAAGGAAAGAAGGCTGAATAAAATCAGCTGGACAGCGAAAACAAATCTGGATAAATTCAGTTTAAAAGTTCATATGTTAGACTAAATAACTCAAAATTAAATGTTAGTCAAGCAACTGAATTTAGGAAGTTTACAAAGAAAGCTGTGTAAAATAATTCGAGTTTCCTTTGCTCAGGATCCCTCAAAATGTCAAAACTAAAACTACGAACGGTTGGTATTTGAACAGGCGAAAGGTCTAGTTATTCAGTGACTAAGCTGTATATCTATTTCTAGAAAACTCGATTTCGAAGGTACATATAATATGCGTACAGAAATTTCCTACGGCACCCTGTTCCAATAATTATATACATGAGTAAACAATCTCGGTTACAATGTTTGCACAGAGAATAAAGATTCCTGTTTGCACAGACGTAAATAAAAACTTATTCAAAACAGTTGAAATCCTATTTTATAATTTTGTAGTCCACGTGCCATGAAATAAATTGAAAACCCAATGAAATCTACATTTTCGCCCTAACACAAAGGGATCTTGTATATTTATGCTCTTCAGATACTTATGTTCCATTTCTCTTGTCTCTTGGTGTTCAGGCAAATGTTTACTAATATTCTCCAAAGTAACTGAAGTCGCAGTTGGAATTGGAAAAACGCAGTTTTACAAATGAGGGAAACACACACTTCCACGACTACTAGGGTTGCTTCAAGGAAACAACCGTTACCTGCTTTACTTCTACAAATTCATTGGGCGAAGTCCATTTGAAATATATCACGGTCTACTTATTAAACATAGGCACGTTAAACGTGCATGAGCTATTTTGAATGCGTCAGTGTAACTTTAATGCTTCGGTGTAACCTTACCAAGAGTGATGAATCTACCTCTTTCATCTAAATGTTGATTGGGTTTTTGTCCGAAATTGCGTATTGCAGTACATAAATGAAAACGCGAAACGCTCAGCAGAGTCGATCCTAAAGCTATATATTCACTTTCCTCTGTCTTTCCCTGTTACATCTGGTGCAAGTTCAACAAATAAAGTGAAATAAATTTCTACTCACCAAACGTTGATTAGAAGGAAAACTCTAAGGTTTCCTCGGAGTTTCTTGAGCCAAAATGTGACTCACCGAATACTGAATAGTTACGAAATACCAGGATTTTTATTATGGTGGTAGATGGTTGCATCATCATAATTCACGAGGTTTTCACGTGCGATTCTACTCAGTGAAACAGTCTTTAACTCCGACAACTTATTTCTTCATGTTTTAAAAGCTATTGCTTCTCAAAAGACAAGAGCCTTTTTTAAGGCATTGGTTACAAAACCAAACAGGTCTTCATACGTCCAAGTTACTATTTATCATTGTGAAAAGCCAATCTGCATGAGATGTACAGTCACACAGCTGGCACGTGAAAGTGTTGGACTTTGCCCCCTTTCGTCGTTCGTACGTGAGGGAATTCGAGTTATCACACAGTAAACTAGTAAACAGAATTATAAAAATAACTCACGCACACAATTTGCACGTGAAGATGTTGGTCTTTCGCCCTTTTACAATTCGTACGTTAAAAAAAGGCAAATTCTTTACTACAAAATTTTCTCAAACGATTTTAAGAAATCACCTCGGCTTCATTATAACATCTGCAATTAAATTATGTTTCATGCAACGTCAAGGTTGATAACCTAACATTTATTAACATTTGTGAAACAGTCTTTAACTCCGACAACTTATTTCGTCATGTTTTAAAAGCTATTGCTTCTTAAAAGACAAAAGCCTTTTTTAAGGCATTGGTTACTAAACGAAACAGGTCTTCATACGTCCAAGTTACTATTATTATTGTGAAAAGCCAATCTGCATGAGATGTACAGTCACACAGCGGGCACGTGAAAGTGTTGGACTTTGCCCCCTTTCGTGGTTCGTACGTGAGGGAATTCGAGTTATCACACAGTAATCTAGTAAACAGAATTATAAAAATAACTCATGCACACCATTTGCATGTGAAGATGTTGGTCTGTGGCCCTTTCACAATTCGTACGTAAAAAAGAGGCAAATTGTTTTACTACAAAATTTTCTCAAACGATTTTAAGAAATCACCTCGGCTTTATTACAACATCTATAATTAAATTATATTTCATGCAACGTCAAGGTTGATAGCCTAACATTTATTAACCTACAAGAAAATTATCAAACTGCCAAAATATATTTCTACTTATATCATGTTAGTCCACTCAATATAACAGTATCTAATTATTGTGTCAACTAGCTTCTTCCAATTTTATTCCCTAACGCTACTGTTTGTACTTAAGTTACGCATCTTTACTAAATAGAACGAAAAAGGTCGGTTGATCTTTGTAAGCGAGAGAATAATATTTTTAAAGCTTATTTACAGGATTAACAATACTCGATACAGCTTTCAAAAAAATAAGCTGCCTTTTAAGCTTCTAAACCACGTTTTATAGGGCGCATACTTTCGAATTAAAGTCTATATTACTTCACTGGAAGAGATTTGAAAATATATGATCTTCTATACTCTACCCAGTTGTAGCAGGTGAAACAGAACTCATACTGACGTGCGTTGTACCGATAGCCGAATTAGGTCAGAAATGCCTCGAAGCAGCATCCACACTTAAACATGAACCCTTAAACAGCTGCTTCACTGTTCACAGCGTTTGAATCATGAAGATATTTTATGTAATGCTTCCAAACACCTGTACCCGTAATAAAAGACGACTAAATTGTGAAGGATCAAGATGGCGGTCTCAAACTGCCCTTGTTCGACCTTTACCAATGCCATGTTTAAATAGATGCCAAGATCTCATTGGTTCCTAAGCATCAACTCATAGTACCTTCAACCTTATTGGCTCTTGCAACAAACATCCCAACATACAAAGCCACAAAGATACATACGCTCACACCACTGACATATCAGCTATTTTTTCAAAATAGCTCAATAAAGGTTTCAAATTTAAGATCAAATAGAGTGGAACATATCTTTCTAACATCGCATAATTTTAGGAAGAATTATAGCTTTGAACATCATGTAAAATTTTTTAAAATTGCCGATCTCAGGCAAGTCCGCTCCATTCGGTTTTATTCAGTCTTGAATTTTTTGTTCAGTCTTGATTCAATCGGTCCCAGTAATTTCACTAAGAGACCCGAATTCATACTTGGCTGCGAGGCTTAGGGGTGCACCCCCCGTCCTGAGATGACCTGCGGTTTTCTAATACAACTGGTATTCTGCAAAAAAAACTATGTGGTTTATTGGTGTTGAAGTAGAGCAAGAGACGAGTGCACCCCCTCCTAGAAAAAATCCTGGATCCACCCTGAATAAAACAAAAGAAATCCTCTTGAGGCTCAGCAATGAATAATAGCGGGGCTCCCTCGCCCGCGAAGCGCGCGTGGGACAGAGCCCCATACTCATAGAATATGGTCAACCTCTTTTCATTTGGTTGTCACGTGACTGACCGAGCGTACGTACGTACGTACGCGTCTACAGATTGTACGGGTAGGGTAGGGGAGACTATCAAAAGGAAGGGAGGGGAAGGCAGTGGCTTTTGACTTTGCTGACCATGGTCACGCGTTGGTCACGCTCTACGTCCAATTTTTACGCTCTGATTGGTCAAAATTTGACAGGTGAGCTCATGCGGAAAATTTATGCAGCATCTTGAATCTTGTTTACTTTGACAGCTGAAGCTGACAGAGTTTTGTGTCAACTTGTGATGTTTTTAACTGTCTTTTTCCACTGGATGCACAAAATGAAATTCAGCTGCTATCAGGAATCTTCTGTTATTCATGGCTAGTTGGTTTTTGGTTGAGAAAATAATGCATTACTTGTCAAAGTCGGAAATCCGATTTCGGATGGCATCGATAGGCCACTTGCACTAAGAGGTCACGTGACCAATGCTTCCTTTAAACAATGAGTTGGAATCTTGCTGATGCAAAAAATTGACAGAGCACATAAAAATTATCTTACACCCGAAATTTGAGGGGAAACGCATTTAAGGGAGGTATTTTATGGCACTTTGATTTTTTAACAGAGTAGTATGATTTGTATTGCCGCCATGTTGGAGGGCATACTCTTGCCCTCCAAGATGGCGGCCAAAACTACTTTTTGCTTATATCTTGTTAAACGTTTGATAGTTACGCTCAGATGTGCTGTAAACATTACCACATCATATTTTCAACATTTTCCTTGAAGTTTAAGTGCAAAATTTGTGTTCAGAAAGAGGTAATTCATAATTTTAAAAATCATATTTTGGTCACGTGACCAGCTACGAAATTACTCATTTTAAGAAAATGGTGCGGGTTTAAAAAACCAAATCACGATCATTTTGTTTAAGATATGACCCACTAATCGTTTTTCGAATGCAAAATCCTATAACTTTCATTTTCATAAAAACGATGTCACATGACCTCTTAGTGCAAATGGCCTATTTCGCTTTTCACCTTGCTTGATGCGTAAGGGTTGAAAAGTCTGAAGCGATACTGGCCTTCCTTGATACCTTTCAGGAGCTGCATGTCGAATGGTAAGCCTCAGTAATTATTGTGTTTGACGTTTGTTTTTTATATCTAATTTAATGAAGTCGAGCGCAGTTTATGCGGCTATGTAGTTTGTGCACGTTTGTAAGATTTGAGACAATTTGATATGACCAAGAATCAGGTTTGATATAAGCTTACAGAACTTTAAAAAGCCTTTAGACATTTTCTCACCGCAAATAGAAAGAAAACGTTCCAAAAAACATTTAGTTATAATTCTAGCTGTAAAAGAAAGCTTTGAGCGATTTTCTTGCGTCGAGTTCATCTTTGAAAAAAGTAAATATCGGGAAGCCGGCTTAAAACATAAACTTAAGCTTTCAGGTTAAGCTTGAAGACTCAGGATTTTTAGAGACACTTTAACACTTGTCTTCGTCAATGAAAAATGTTGTCTCTGTACATGTTTCACCGAATTATATTTCTTTTATTGATTGTTGGTAGTCTCTCTTGTAATATTAATCGCCGTGCCGTTTGTTTTCAGTTGTTCAGTGAACATCGCTTGCAGGAGTACTCACAGTGCCGAGGGTATCAAACCGGCGCTTTTAAAGATTTCACATCGATAAAACCATTTAATAAAACTGAATAAACATAATAATTTCTTTATTATGTTGTAGCTTAACTCTAGTATGTTCGTTCAAACACTCGCTACAGTTCGCACTGCAAAAGTGAGAACTGGCTGGCCGTATATGATTTTGGAAATTTTGTTAACGGTTTAAAAAGCCCACGCGTGCTTCGATCGTCCTGAATATTGAATGAGTGCAATTTGTGTTGCAAAATTGTGAAATACTGCATTCTGTCCGAGCTCTGTATGATAAAAACAGTACCTCCTAGTACTGTTTCACCTCAGATGTGATGTATAAATGGTATAAAAGGTTGGTTTACAAGCACCCGGATTTGTTGGCAAGAGTTTGTAAAGTAAACTTGTCGAACGCAAAAAATTCGGCCTGATTTTTTTTCCGGGCCTAATTAATCTTACGGTGATCAAGAGCCATTATGGCTAAATGTGATCGAAGATGATTGCTATTTTTTGGGTGTACATATGAGGCTATCAACTTGATGTAAGATTTTGTTCACTCTTAGGCTGTTTGCAAATTATTTTTCTCTAAAATCACTCAGCCTTTCCCTCAAAAGTCACATGAATGTGCTACGTGCTCTAAAGTTAACTGAATTGTGGAATACAAGTTTATAGTTTGATTTAAATTATAAATATATTAATGGAAGCCTCGCTTTTAGCCCTGGCTAAATCTATATATTACATTCTTTTGTTTTATTCCCCCATGGAACCAAGTATGAATTTTATTATAACGAAATTGTTCTATTTAATGTCCATCTTTGTCAATCATCAAATTATAACCTAATATAACGCTTCTTTGCCAGTGCCTTATTCTATCTTCTCACAAACTTAACCCTCGGACGTGCACGCAAAGTCATACCCCTCACCGTAGTACAAGGGATGGCCCTCGAAAGTCGTACTTGGCATACGAAGGAAGTTTCCTTGTTATTCACAAGAAAAAGAGAAAAACTTTAATCGTCAGATCCGTTCTTTATCTGCAAATAATCTTTAACTCTTCAGTTCTTCAGATAACAACTTAGCCTGCCTTACACGATACGGATGAGCGAAGGATTACATGGATTGTAAACCTAAATCACACATGTGATAAACAAGAACATGGCGGCAACTAGCACGAGTCCTAAGCAAAAATGGTAACAACCGCTGACCATAAATACTGAAAACTCCTTACTACAGCACTGCTGTAGTAACAATACAGCAAGGCCGAAGTGTTTCCCAAGTTTCGTTACTCTCTTTCTCTGTTTCTTGGGAAAAATAGGAGGACAAGAAAGAGTCATAGCTAGACGAGGAATCTAGAAAGTGTGATGTTGAAACATGTTATGAAAAAATAGCTAATCAGAAAATGAACGGAGGAATAATTTTTATGAACTTCAATCACTGTATTCCATTTTTCAGGCTTGAAGACTTTGCCGAAGGAGCTGCCAAGGTTGATGTAACTGAGTGTACTCAAGATTGGAAACGGTATGAAGACCCAGATAATGCTAACATTGAATATTGGGATTTACCAGGAATGGGGACCGAAGACTTCCCTGCAAAGACATACTTTCAAGATGTAAAGTTGAATGAATACGACACATTCGTAATCCTCACAGATACCCGCTTTACGAAGGACGACCTCGAATTGGCCAATAAAATTACATTACAGGGTAAGAAGTATTTCTTTGTTCGCTCAAAAATTGATCAAGATGTTAGAAATGCCAAACGGTCAAGTCGGCCCGAATCATTTAATGAGGGTGATGTGCTGGCAAAAATTCGAAGTAAGTGTGTGGCAAAACTGGGTGACCTGCTGAGCAATAAGGAAAAGATATTCCTGATAAGCTGCCATGGTTTTGAGAAGCGTCGTGAAACTGGTGAGAAGTGTGGTGAAAAGTATCGTGAAAAGTATCAGTTGGAACCTCTCATAAAAGCCAACCGAGATGCGTTGCATCAAAATCAGCAAGATGCTATGATCCGTTTGCTGGAAGAGGCGTCGATGGCGGCTCTAGAGGAAAACGTTAAGGTTCTGGGAGGAGATATATGGAAGAGTAGTGCATTGTCTGGTGTTGCCGCAGTGATTCCTGTAGTATCCATTGGTGTTGACATCTGGCTGATTAAGAGAGAATTAAATCGTTACAAAACCGCGCTTGGTATTCCTGAAGAAGAATCGGATGAATTTAAGAAGCTAGACCCCACCTCCAAAGCTAAAGTTAGCGTAACATTAAAACTTCTGACCGAATTTACTGCCAAAAGCGCCGGTGCCCTAGCAGTTGCTTATACCGTAGAAACACGAATTGAAGAGGCGTTTGCTTTTCTTCCAGCCGGGCTGATTATTGCTTGTCCACTGTCAGGTATTACCACATATAAAGTTCTCGACTACATTTTGAAAACAATGGCGGATACAGCATTTGCAATCCTAGCCGGAGTAATCAAATCGAAAAAAAAATAGCCTGCACAGCAAACGTTTTTAGTACTTCAGTCTCTCTAACTGGGCAACATTCGTAGTCAGACATTGTAACCAGAATATCTTTTTGAAAACAGAAACCTGGAGCCCGTTTCTCGAAAGTCCCGATAATTAACAGGCCCGGTGAGCTGTCTCCGTTTACATTAAAGATTGAGGTTTCAATAGTTTTGCATCTAACATGATAAAACTGTCAGTTAATGAAACAAAATGGAGTAGTTTGGTTGGCAGGACCCGCGTTCTTACTCTTTACATTTCCGATTTGAATATTTGATTTCGGGCCCGAAAAGTTACTGGGACGTTCGAGAAACGGGCCTCTGGGCTTTAAAATTCAATCCAAGCCCTTAACCTGTTTGGGACAAAAACAATCCTCCTCAATTAAGCGACGTTATATACCCATTCTCTCAGCGAATTCTCGAACGATTCGATGTAATGATTTAAATCTCAAATGATGATTTACCGCGATTTCCCGTCCTTAGTCAAATTAAATGAAAATTATTTCACATCAGTGCGCGGGCTAAAATCTTTTATGAGCGGGTTTAAATTAAGTCAATGCTGTTAAATCTAAAAATAATAGTAGCATTTTAGACTTCGATATTTGGCCTCCTGGAGGAAAATGTCTTTCAAGTCTCGTGAGGGAAGGAAGCCACGATTTGCAAAGTCTGCCTCGTCCAACATCTTACCAAGTTTCGTTTCATTTGACTACACTGGTAAACAGTGATCCCCGACTCCAGACGAATCGATATTGAATGCACTCGGCGTTGAAAAGTCTTCGCACTAGGTGACTCAGTGACAACAATTTGACTGTTTCTAGGACTTGAAAAGTTTCAGTGCTCGAAAATGAGGGTTACAAGTCTTGAAACAGAATGTTCAGTGCCAGGAATAAAAACGCTTTGTCTATGTTGAGGGGACTGTTCCCAGTAAGAAAACCAATTCTTAGCTCAGGAGAGGTGGATTTTAGGTTTTCAGACAGCAGGAAATTGGCTATGAACCTTAAGGTTTAACACGAGATCAGTAGCAACACAATTGAAATGTTAAGACTTATAAGACATTGTTTTGAAGTTTCATGTAGTCAGATAATATGAACGTGAGCTTATTTCAACAATACAACTCACAATTCAAGGTATAGCCTTAGGCTCGATTACCAGCCGCTGTTCGGGAAGATGAGGATCAAAGACCGGACCCGGGAGACGGCGGAAATCGAGCCTAAGGTAGCCTGCAAAGCTCAGAGGACATTGATTACCACCGCCATCTTGAAGGGAGATATAGCATAAAAACTAAGGGAGGAGGGTCGGGAAACCTCTACCCTTGGAATCATTTTTGGACTCGCCCCTACTCTCTGTCAGTTGGCGGGGAAGCGTTGGCCCTCCAAAATAGTACCATCGTTCGCACTCAGGCAAAACACGCCTGCTTTGCTTTGCATGCTAGATACTAGGGACCAATAACTTTTACTGTTCCAGACGTCAGTTCAAACTGTCGGATCGACTTTTGGTTGATTTTTCCAATGAATGTTTTACATTACCCTCCCTACCAGCAGAGCCTTTCATTTGGCGTACTCGGTATAGCCTGTGTACAGACCCCCTCCCCTCCCTTCTTCTATTTTTCCTGAGGAGAGGGGGATCTCTACACAGGCTAACTCGGTAAAGAAAACTGAGTCAAAAGCAGGCGACTCTGCTCTCAGGGTGTATATTACGAAGTAGTGGCTCAGTAACAGGAGTTCATTGGCCACACATGTTTGATCAAGTTTTGGTTCTAGCAATACAAGAAAATGTTCTCTTTTGCACATACTGACTGTATTAATAATTCATATGCGATATAATAATAATGTAGTTGCAGAGTATAGTAAAATGTACGCACATTTTTGTTGTTAAGCAAGGACCGCTGTGCCGGAGTCTTGAGATTCTATGATTAAAATAGTACTCAGTTATTAGGTATACTTAGGTAAACACTACATATATTCTTTAAGTATGTATACTGTGGTTTTTATTACATGATTTTTTTTGTGGGGTTCAGCTTTCCGCTGGTAATAAATTACCTTGTTGGTACGAAAATCTTAACCGGTCTCCATGACAATATTACAATATATTTCTTTACGTAGTTACTACACAGTTTTAAAGGTTCAATCGTAAGACTTAGTATTTCAAAACGTTAGGATAACGTATTTTAGTCAATTTATAGGTAAGAACACGTCGGGCAAAACTTATTAAGACTAGAAAAAGTACGTCAATCTAATTTGGACTAGCAGTGGAAAGAGGGTTATTTAGTTAGAATCATACGATTATCGCCTTTATTACCTATTTACTTTCAAATTGTTACCATCAGTAAAAGAGTTAAAGTTGTTACTTAGAGGAGCTGTGTCTTGGCATTCCCTCGGTTAAAACTGTTTTGAGGAGGGAAATTTAAAAAAAAAAAATTACGGAAAACAAAGAGCACCCAAAATTACTGGTGTGTGCATTTTGTTTTATTCATGCAACTATAACAAAATTGAAGCTCAGCTATTTGTGTTTGTTATCCCTGCTGGAGAGTCGCCTGATATCCGATGGATATTTTTCCTTTAAGTTTGACTTTCTAGAAGAAATGACCGCGGAAATTTGGTTTTCATTTGACGAAATAATGTGACCCTCACCATGACATAGCTCCTTATATAGTAAGTAGGATTTGAAAGGTGGATGGCATTCCAATGTTTATTACTCGTATGGATTTCGTCCAATGTAAGGGAATCCGGATTCCGGAATCCAGGACATTTTTGCTTTTGGAATCCGGGCTCCTGTAACTTGGAATCCCGTATACAGCTTTAGGAATCTGGAATCCCACTGACATTTGGAATCCCGAATCCAAGTTCCACTGAAAAAGATCTGCAATTCGGAATCCATGGCGTGGAATCCAGAATCCCAGTCTGTCTTGGATCCCTTTATACATGTAAGGGAATCCGGATTCCGAAATCCAGGAAATTTTTGCTAGTGGAATCCGGAATCCTGGGGTTTGGAATCCGGAATACAGCTGTAGGAATCTGGAATCCCACTGACAATTGGAATCCGGAATCCGAGTTCCAATGGAAAAGATCTGGAATCCAGTAACTGGAATCCGGAATCCACGGCGTGGGATCCAGAATCCAAAACTGTCTTGGATCCCTTTCTACATGGGGCGAATGGATTCGCTCAGGAGTAATTTTAACCGTGGAACGCAGAGAAACGCATTGACTTTGTTAACTTTTTAATTGTTTACATATACTCTTTACCAATTTATGTAATCAAGTTACTCTGTTGTTTTAAAATAAAGAGCTTAAAAACTCGACTTATTACGCGTTTCAGGTAGTTTGTGAGCTTTCGCATTTGTCTCTGCAAACACCATGCAGAATTTATCAGGATTCTATCAGGAGCCCGGTTGAAGGCCAATTAGCACTATATAATTCGGGTTCAAAAGCATTTTGTCATATAATTTTTTTCCGAAACGGTAGGCAAAAAGAATTAAACGGAATTTGCTTTTAGGCTTTCATATCTGTATTAAAATTTCGTACTAACCCATGGGTTATCTTAACGACCAGCTTCGCACAACCTGGCCCGGGCTGACAAAGTCTTTTTCTTTAAAAAAGGGCTGTTTTAGCCAGCACAAGAGATCATAATTGGACAGAGCGGCAGTCAAGGGCTTTGGCTGAGATATCAGAAACTATGTGGACCATGCGGAAAAAATTTCCGGTGAACTGATCGACTTCACATTCAAATTTCGGTGAATAGTGGCTCAAGAAATATTTGCCTCTCGTCGCGAATATTCAGCCATTATTCAGCTCGAATTCAAAGAATAATAAAAATTTGTTAATCGTCCAATGTGAGGTGCGGACCAAAATATCAGTTTAGCAGGTAAAGGAGTGTCCCAAAAGATTGCAAAGACCTGGTCATCAACAGAAAATACATCCACATGGTCGCTTTGACGGCCACCTTTCAATGAAAGGACCCGCTTTGTACTGCTTTGTGTTCATCGTTTATGCAGGCCGCAAGGTTACTTTTCCAACAGAAAAAAGGCAGTCACACGGTCGCTTTTAATTACTGCATTTTAATCGTTGCTTTTAAAAGACCAGTCACTGTAGAAGTCTTACCCAGCTGCTGTTGTATGTTCGTCGTTGAAAAATTTAACCACATCTAACTCGTGCAGAAATCACTCCACCAAAGCTGTCATAATTTTCATTTGTCGACTCGGCCTCGCTTTTAACGCACCGAATTATGAAGGCGAGTCCTCCGGAAGCCAATCAGTTTACCGGAAACTGTTTCCGCATGGTCCGAATCGTTTCTAAAAATTGCTTTTTGGAAATTAAGGAGGGTTGTTCAATCCTGTCATATCCAATACTGCCGCACTGTTACGGACCGTTAAGAGCAGTTGACGGATCGTATGCTCCGTACAAACCGTCAGCATTGCTCACGATCCGTATTCTGAGCACATAGGAAGCGTGCATCCCATTACTACATCAGGGCGCAGTGTGTTATGGTTCGTACGATCCGTACGATCCGTGCGGATGATAACGGTCCGTATACTTGAGTCATACGGATCGTAATTTTCCTCGTTCCAAGCGTTCTATAAGCCATAAACCAACACAAGCACACTTCAAATGCAATATTCCTCGTTCGGCACAGTTTTAGAATATGAACAGACATATGGAGATTTTTTTGGCGTATTCTTGTATTTGTTCCTTGCGTTTTTAGTCAGTAATTCGGCTATTTTGTCTTCGGATAGCCGTGAATATTTCGTCAATTTCTTGAGTTCAGCACTCAAGAAAAAGCAGCTAGTCTGCAGCGCTGCTGCCTGCAAACGAGGTTGTGATCTGATAAAAGCCAATCAGAAACAGCGAAATAAATAATAAAAAAGCAGTATAATTATTTAGTTATTTAGGTGTTATACAAGAGGAAACATTCAATCCATAGCACACTTTTAGAACAACTCGCATGCAATGGGGCTGAAACTATTCAGTCAGTGCAAGGCAGGATATAATTCACGTTCTACATTTACCCTAAAAATCATGAATATAATCTCTTTTTGACCTTCTAATCCTATCTACAACTTTGCTTCAATGAAGGAACACAAAATGACAAACATTACCGGTACTTTTTTTTGTGGTTACCATGGGTAATTGTGGACCCGCAAACACTGTTAGAATTGTAACAATAAGAACAATAAGAAATATTTACTCATTGATATAATCACTTTTATGTTACTGTTTAACAATAAAATACTAAATCGTTTGATTTTTAATACCTGTGTGCTCGTATCGTCTTTTAACAAGACACACTCCCTTAGGTGTCACACTTTTTACCGCCACAAATCGCCTCACCCTAGCGTGGACAAGGGGCAGGGGGTTGGAGATCGAATCCTTACGATAAAAATTTGCTAAAAAAAACGGCTACACTTTTATAATCTAAGCCAAACATTCAAGGGATGGTTTATTGGATATTGAGTCGTCTCAAAATAATTTTAAAGTCAGGGCATCGGACGTTTATAATATTTCTGTGGTGGCTGGTAATTGCTATACGGTGTTCTTTCCACAAAAGCAGGATGATGGAAGGGAGAAATCAAGGAAGCAAGAGTTGCAGGACGGAGTTTATTCTACGAACAACTGCTATCAAATATAAATCTGAATTAAACAAGGTTTCTTTTCATACCATATTATCATACAGACATCAAAGGCATGTTTGGTAAAGAAACACATAATTTTGTCCCTACATAAGCGTTTTCAAGAGAGTGATAACAAAGTCGTTTTAACAACAGTCACACAACAATGAAAGTTGTTCTAGAGTCGCAAGAGAAGGTTCAGACCTGGCTAGTTCAGCTCCTAATATTTCAGATAATCGATTTAATTTGCAACTAAAGTGGAAAGTCAGTTTAAATGTAAAAAATAAAAAAAATCATAAATTCTAAAAAAGGCAAAATGTTCTTGTAACTCTAGGAAGCAAACCTATGTTTTATGGATTCAAATTTTTTAGTAAACAACAATAATTCTTTTCAGACTTACATTTGGTTGCGTTTAAAAGAGTGGCTCCTTGTAAATGCTTTCCTTATCAGCGAGGACGTTTTTTAAATTTTCCTTGTAAATGGTAAAATAATCGAGGAAGATGAAAACAGAACATTCAATGTGAGGGAAAACATATTAAGACGCAATCCACCAGGAAATTGAGTAATTTTAATTTTGAGTGGACAAAAAACTTGTAGCAGAATAATTTAAAGCACGTTGCATTCTTTTCTAATTTTTCAAGGGCTAAATATGTAATAACTCATTTGTAATAACACCAAAAAAAATTTCTTATGGGAGCCAAAGAAAATGAATGTCAAAATTCACAAAACTAAATCTTACACATGAGATTTTCAGAATCTCAGTTCTTGTTAAATTTGACATTCATTTTCTCAGACTCCATGACAAATTTTCTTTGGTGTTATTACAGACGACTAACTACATCTTTAGCCCTTGCAAAATGCAAAAAAGACTGCAATATTCTTTAAATTATACTGGTACAAGGTTTTTGTCCACTCAAAATTAAAATTACTCAATTTCCTGGTGGATTCCGTCTTAAAATACCGCTTAACTACAGTGAAACCTTTCCACAATGGCTACTTGTAGCGGGATCTCTTCAATTCAATCTTAAATAATAATTTTTATCTTTTAAATTTCGCTCTGTATTATTCCCTTGGCTTCATAAAGTCTCTTTTCGTTTTCTTTGATGGTTGATGAGAGGCAGGACTTTCTGCTTCAAAGTTAACAGCACCTGCTGATGAACGTTTTCTTTTTGTTGAAAATTTCTTGGCTACAGTACCCACCAGACTTTCATATCTGTTACAATAAAGAGAATTAAAATTTTATTTCAAAGTGAACAAATAGAAGAGTTTCTTTAATGTTCTTTTTAGAAGGTACTAAGCAGCTGATAGTAGCATTGCTTACGAGTTGATAAAGCTTTCTATTGGCCAGGCTCTTCCCTCAGAGTCAAAAAAAGCTTGCTCACAGGCTAATAACAATATTGAATGGAGTAGAGTAGGAGGAGTACATTGCGCTTGTCATTAAAAGTAATTGTTGTTATATAGATGCATACATGTATGACGATCGGCCTTAACGTGTGTCTTTAAGCCAATAACTATCATCACATTACCCCATTTCAACTAAATAATTATGCATCTGTAGGTAAACTGAGGTTAACATAATATACTATGATAACTGCAACCCCTCAGACATGCTGAATGGCAAAAAAGGAAATAAGACAAAGCTGTTTGGTTGGAGGTACCCTGGGTTTCAGGCGAGGTTTAGTAATTTTTTCAGGGGCATCCATCCACGGTTTTCTCCCAAACGCATCGAAAACACTTATCTAGACTATCCAGCGAGTACTTTTAGACCTTCACAAATGCAATATACACCTGTAAGCGGTCCTATTAACAAATCGAGCACAATCGTCCATGGTCTACACTCTTAGACCACACACGAAGAAACGATGTCATGAAATGTTCAAAACTCAAATGGAACCACGAGCCGCAGGTGAGTGGTTTCACTGCAAGTGTCAAATTTTGTACACTGCAGGTCAAAACCATCCTTAAGTGATCCACAGCGACCCTGGCTGGACAATTTTAAATGGAACATCAGAAAGGAAGACTTGACTTCTTTTATTGAGAGAACATGCACCAACTGTAACTTACAGTATGTAACACTTAACCACATTTGCAATGGAACTTCATCACTTCTTAACTAAAAAGTTATAATTCGTGAATATTCTAAATATCAGTTTTTCTTGGGACTAAACGATATCAAATTTTGTGAATAGTGCAGCTTTTCCTAGATTTTTATTATGAACCTTCCCTGCCTTAAAAAATGATTGTAAATTTTTAAAATAGCTTTTTAACACTTGTAGAATTGCCATTTTAATTTTAATTTTTTGTATTTTGAATCTTTTTTTAGTGTCCACAATTAGCTACTGTGTAGCTAAATGCTCTGACACTTAAATGTAGTTCATTCATTCATTCATTCATTCATTCAGGTGCAGACCAAACTTGGAAACAATGCCAGTGAATAATGAGGATGCTTACTTGGTAAACACAAAATCTTTGAGGCATTGGAATTGCCATTTCATGGCATTCCTTGATTTTAATGTCCTTGAAACTTGGAGGTTATTTAAATTGATTAAGGAATAAAAAATATCAAGCAGTTTCTAAATTCCTTACATGGATCATAACAAGTCTTTATCCTCATACAATAAAGCTGATATCTTTGTAATGCTGATGCAGCAAATATTAAAACTTGGGAGGTATACCTACTAAAACATCACTGGTCACACCACCTCAAGTGTTCTGCTTCCTATTACACAAGTTTCACTACCATGACTTTTTGCTTTAGTAATATATTTGATCAGCAAAGAGCTCCAGTCATATGTATACATGCATCTATTGAATTATCAGCAAGGGAAAGCCCTTCTGTCTGATGCTCTTAAGCTCTTTTATCATTACATTATGTATTTAAAAAACTGACTCTATAGGGGTAACAAATTTACTGGTAAACCAGTAGTTTTCATTTTGACTGACAAGGTCATGAATCCCAACTGGCCTGAGCTAAACCAGTTGACTCTTTACAACCATGAACTACATGTTTAGGATTGGAACATGGGCGGAACATATGACCTTGTGGCCAAGCGCTCTAATGTGATCCACCCAAACTTTCCAACCTACATGTGCATGTATCCAGCCATATATCCATCTAGAGGATTTTATTTCTTGAGAATACATGTATGCTCTCAAGATAATGAATCATAACATAGGTATGTTACATGTACAGTATAGGTTGTCATATTGATATAGAGATGTCTTTTTTAGATTAGATGTCAAAATAAGAGGCCCTACAATACATTGTACATGTACTTGTATAGTGAGGTCAGTAAGGCTAACAAAATGTAGGCATTAAACCATAAAAATTAAATTTTCAAGTTTTCACAAAAAGTTAACAAAGTAGTTGTTACCTTCTCGCCATCTCTTCATCAGAGACAGTTGCTTCCCGCTCTCGTTCCTCTGATCTTGCCATATCTTCCTCAGCTTGCATCTCTTTAAACAATTTCTGTTGACATTTATTTGAAGACTGAGCATTGAGAACATGACTGGAATACAATCTCCTTTGGCTTCTCATGCAAGCAAAGAGTTGAATTTAACTGCATATTTACGTAAGAACATGCCAATGTATATATTGTGCTTCAGTTTTATCCTTGGCTTAATTTTCATTTTCCTTTGTTTTGGGGTTTGGAAATGTATGATTATGAGATTAAAAGAAAGGAAAATAAAATTAAACAACGGACAAAATTGAACCACAACATACACATTGTATAAATCTCTTGTACTATCATATAATTTTTAGACCACTTAAAAGCTACATACATGTACATCAGGATATATATTTCTACATTTTTGTATTTTTTAAACAGATTTCAAGATACATGTATTGTAGTACAATGAATGTCAAAAAAACTGAGTGTATAGAGTTTAAAGTAGATGTGGATACAAGTTAACTGCCCATTGTAATGGTCTTATGGTAAAAAGGGGACTGTATATAGTTTAAGACAAGAAAAGCACTTGGAAAGTGTAGGATTATTATTATATTACCCAGAATCAAACTTACTTCAACAGTTGGATTAAAGTTCCTGAATGACATCCTTCCACAAGGATAAAGATCCTCACATTTTGCATAACTGGGTTCAAACTCGATGCGGCTTCTTAAAATAAATTGAGAAACAAAACTACCTTGATATTAGTAAAGTACAGTATTTAAAATAGACAGGGGTTTATAAACAAATATGCATGTATTAACACCTATATTAGAAACTATTGAGACAATAACAGACAGCTTCAGCAATGACAATAGTGGTGACACAAAGAACATCAAAGAAGCAATCGCTTTGTTAAGCAAAACAACAACTTCGCATGTGCATCACGCTTTTTTGTGCATTTCGTTGCCATTACTACGTGGCTATATGATTTGAAATGCCTAAAATCAAGTTTTATGGAGAACATAAACAAGCGTCTAAGTTTCTAAAATGTTTGTTCAAACAGTAGTTAAAGGTCAATGGAGGTCAATGATTTCTTGATAAACTGTGTCTGTAAGTTAGGTTTGTTTAAAAGACATTTGAAGACTTTAAAGAAGCCTATGATTTTTAACTTTTATTTCTCAGTCTCAGAGCTTATATGTAAATGAATCCTCACAGTATTGGTCAGTATTGCTGGATCAGAATCCACTTCAACTTGACAGGAAGGGAATAAAAAAAGAGAAGATGGCAAGAGGGATGGCAGTGGGGGTGGGGGGCGATGGAACGATTACTCAAAGGAGGCAACTATTTCAAATATTTCCATTTAAAGGGGGTGATTTATTTAAGGGCAGAATGGCTATTATTTGACAAAATACAGTAGTAAAATGTTTTTGTTCAAACAACATTTGTTTAATCAAGCATGCTATACACATGTACATACATAAAGAAATACTCCCTTTAAAACAAAAAAATGTATCAGTTATAATAAGCGGTAAATGATCAATAACTTCTAAATGTTGTGACTTCAGACCACAAAAGAAAAATGGGAAATTCCAGGGGTTGGGAAGTACTATATGCACAAGTTACTATATACACAAGTCCTGGCTTGTTTAGGGGCTCTGACCTAAACATCCAGTTGGCATTAAGTGGGGAAAAAGTGAATATGTCAACAGCCCCCTAAAGAGCCATCAGATCATACAGTAGTCCATGGTCCATGACTAGAAATTACTATCTTGAATACCTTGTACCTGAATCAAAATGTAACTACCCGAAATACTCCCTGAAGATACCTTTACGTCCCCCATGATAATCGTGAAGTTTCAAGTTCCAAACTTAAATATTTTGCTTGTAAAGAGGTGACCATGCTCAATGGTCTTTGGTCCGCAAGTGTGATCCTTCGTCCGTGACTCATGTACACAGAATGAAAAGGAGATGAGAATTCCATAGTTTACATATGAAAACAAAATTTTTGCCACATTTCGCATCTTTTTTTTAATTCTTGATACAATTATGCCATAATATAATACTCAGTGCAGTCAAAAATAATTACTAGAAACTTTGTATGTATTCAAAATATTTAAAAAAGAGAACTTGAAAAGATGTACATGTATAAGGAAGATTTTGAAAACATTATTCGAAAACAAAGGCCGTCTCCAAAAGGTTTCATTTATTTTGCGACATGTAATTCCACGAGTCCTGGACCAAGGACCACTACGCGAAATTTGGTAACATTTTTCAAGAGTCGATCAATAAAAAAAAATTCCAAGTCTGCAGCAAATGTGCTTCCAACAGCAGAAATAGGTTTCTATGAAAACCTTTTCTGCAGAAAGGCACGTCTTCCTGTTGCCTTTTATTTATTCACAAGGCAAGTAAACATGACCATGTAATTTACAGTGCCGCAATTCAGTGCCGCAAAAGTACAAACTTCAAGAAAGACAAATTAACCTACCTGACAAACTTGAATTTAGCGCCTTCACCAACAGCAGGAAAGCCGAAACTTCGTCACACGAAAGAAGACTAATCAATAAATAGTTCGACTCATTCCTTTTTCTGTATTTTATTTCTCAACGAAATATTTCATCACATTCGAACAAAGCCGCAGACCAAGGACAATATAAGCTTACTGTACGTGTACGTGCTAAGTATTAGCTTGTATGTTAAGTCGAAAACTTCAAAGGATTCAAGTCGATCAGGAGAACAAAATACCTACAAAAATGAGAATTTATAGCAACCTTGCGCATTTCTACTTGTTTCAGTGCCTTACCTGTCCTCATTTTCTTGTCCTTCCACTACCCAGTGTGATTCCTCTATGGCACGTTGTCGTTCTTCTTCAAGCTGCCGCCGGTAATCAGACTCTGCTTTTCTTTTCATGAACTAAAATAATCCAATACAGAGGAAATTAATTGAGTAAAGGATTAAAATTTAGCTCTTTAAGGTATCAAGGTAAGTAAAATTAGGCTTACCTTCATTGCCATGAGATTTTTTGACAAGGTTTTCTTAGTGGGCTGAGGTACTGCTTCGGCCGCCATGTTGGATTCTAGTCTGGGTTTTAGTCCCCCACGTTTGTAATTGACCACAGGGTCCCAAATGCAAATTACCGGAAGAGCTTTTCCCTGGCTTTTAGTGCCTTTCATCATTTGGGATCCAAAATTTGGAGAAAGAAAGACTTCAAAACAAACACGTGCTTTTGTAGGAGAAAGCGAGGCCTCGGATTTTCCAATTGAACAAAAAATAAATTAAAAATAAATATATCTAAAAGCTTTACTCTGAAATAAGACAGACACGACGAATAGAAAAATTTAAAAGAAGTTAAAAATCTATCAAGAATTTAAAGAAAAAGCCCTTAAAAGTTGGCTAATTAACTGCTGGGCTTAGGAAAAAATATAAATATAACGAAGAGCAATCAAGGTAGCTAGGATTATTTTGGGCGGGAATACAGAGCTACCAACTGAAATTATTTATTGTTTAATATTTATCTCCTTACCACTGATTTGACTAGGATTCTTAGTTAATTAGTTGCTTTTAATAATTTTCTTTAATTTTAGTGCTTAACACTTTTTCCCTTTCCCTCTTGGTCAGAATTTGCTTCGTAAGTCAAACTGTAGGCATCCAGGGGAAATGGTGTGATCAGAAATTTCATAAGAAACTATAACGCAAGTGTTTTTCTTTCCCGATTCCTAAATATTTCCAAAAATCACACCCAAAAGCTTTCTTTTAAGTTCGCAAATCAATTTTTTTCCGCATAATGCAGTTGATCGGCTCAATGTTGATTTAACGACACGAACATATCGAAACTGACTCAAACTGACTCTTCCAAAGTAATTTCCAATTGTTTGGCAACAGCTTTTTAAGCATGGCTTATTGGGCGCCCTCTTGAGATAATAATCTCATTGGTGCCCTGTATGGATGAGCTAGTGCGCCAGATATTTTCCAAAGGTACAGAACAGTAGAAAGTCTGGTGTCGCTGCGCGCGCGACTTTCGTCGTCACCTTACATACGTCACAAACGCTGAGAACGTAAACCGAAACTAATAGCATTAGGATACTATGGAGGAAACAGCACAAGGAAGACAAATGAGAGGACGGTTTATGTCAAACTATGGTCTTAAAACCTACACGCCGGAACAAATTAAGGAACAATGGAGAGAGAATATGAAGGTACTGGTGAATTTCTTTTTGAACTAAATCGTTCAAACTGTTTGACGTGGTCTCTTTTGTTAGTTAAGTAAATATCAACGGTGAATTGCAAGAACTAAAAGAGAGGGCCAAATGAATGGTTCCTTTTGGGTTCAAGCAAGCAAGAAAGTTTACAGATTTTTTAAAGTCATCTCCGCTTGAAACATTATACAACCGATAAGCTAATGTGCGGCTTACTTTATTTCTCAAGTTCTTTTAGCAAATCGAACTGGGTGTAACTTTCGTTTCTGATTCATTGCAAACGTTTCGACTCTAATGTTTGCTGTAAGTTTTTGCCCGCTACACTTAATGATCTTTGTGCCCTGAATGTTAGATAAGTTCAGTTTTGCCACTGACCTAAATATGATAACACAGTTGCGGTCCTTTCAACTTTCATCTGCTTCAATTTGTTTCAGAGAGAAAGCCGCCTAAGAGACCCTCATCTCATTACGTCGAGCTGCAGTGAAGAGTTGACTAAAGCTTGGAAAACTAATTTTTCAAGGCCTTTTTCTTCCGACGCAGCGGTGCAAAACTACTTTAACACGAACAAACAGGTATTATATCTTGATGATGTGGTTGTTGGTTACGCTTTAAAGCTAGTGCAAGACAGTTATCAAGGATTAATGGAGCCATTGTACTGATTGTAGCCACTCAAAGTTTAGTTATTGACAGACAACAATCAAACGAAACTGTGAATCAAAATTTGAAGAGAATTTACAATACTCTCAACAAACTCAGCGCGGGAACTCTTACAAGCAAGTCATAGTCACGACAGAGAAAATGGCACTGAATCGGTGGGGAGATATTAAGCCCTTGAATAGTTAGATATTGCAAAGTATAATAAAAGAAATCACTTAAGCTTTTTTACTTTTAATACATCATTGAAAAATGACCCAATGTGTTGTTTCTTTTAACTTCAAGTATGACAGAGTATCAAACTACGACCGAACATTCCATATCAAATCTGGTTACTGCAGTGAACTTCAACGTGACGACAGAGAACGTACTCGTGGTCTAAATGTTAATGCTGGGGTGGATGTTTTTGTTTGCTTTCGTTTTGAACTGTTCTACTGCTTTTATTGACAAACACCTCTAACGGATTAAAAAATACTCTAGAGAAAAATATATCAGCCATTCGTTTCGTAACAATACCTTTGATAGGGAGACGATCAGGCCAATTTTTGAAATCTCTTTTTATACGTGGTGTCCTTGGGATCAATATGGTGAGATGCTGATACGAGCTAAGAAAGTGATATGTCTTGGGGGATTATAACCCATTTGTGGTATCCTGATTTACCTAAGTTCACTTTAGTGAATTCACCATTCTCACATAGACCATAGATCCTGGTTAACCCCTCCCCCCAAAATTTTGCATAACCATTGTCTTCGATTTCTCCTGGGATGACTGTAATACCCCGAAAAAAAAAATGGAAAAAATAACGCTTATGCAAAATTTGGGGCGTAAACAAGGTGCATCATGGTCTATGTAAAAATGGTGAACGTACGTTTATGCAGTCCCTTATCGACCCTAGATAGCAAAATACGTAATTGCATTGTGTGTGCAAGGTTTCCGTTTTAGCTCTAAGGCAAGTAGGTGTGGTAACTCACTCACTAGAGACTAACAGAAGAGTTAGCAGCTTGTGAGTTCATGCAACTGTTCTAAGACTGCAACTAGCTCGGGAAATTCCAAAAAGTCCTACTGGTACCCGATTTATTCATTTACCACTTGTTTCATACCAGCCTTGTTCAAGAAGCACACCAGCCCATAATGGAATGGGCAAAAAAAAAATTATGGGCCCTAAGCGAGGTGCCATCCCTACCCAAACCCTCAGCCCATGAAAGATATACATTAGGGGTGATCCTTGCCCTAGAGGGTTACATCTCATCAAGAGAGAATAATTGGAAAGAGAGGATGTACTGTCGCACTTTGTAATAATCGTCGCACTTTGTAATACCTGTCGCACTTTGTAATAAAATTGTCACACTTTGTAATACCTGTCGCACTTTGTAATAAAATTGT